CATCTGAGGTCCATGATTTGAGTACTGTTGCCGCAAAAATGCGCTCCACATATTGTGGTCGTGGATGTGTTATAAGGGTGACGGCCAATCCTACTATTCAATTAGCGTAGCCAATAGTTGGCAATGAGTGCTGTTGAGTAGCTTAATTTACCCTAGCCTATCGATTTAAAGTTAGAGACGGCTAGCAAAGTTAGTCCTTATGTAGCTTTGTGCTTATTTACGGAACTAACATAACAAATCATGCCATACCTCTATAAAATCCAAAACACACACACACAAACGTTTCAAGTCTAATATTGGACCTATCATGAAGATTTCTTTACTTAAGAAACGTAAGAGTACACGACTAAAACTGCAAGATACATAAATTTATCTTTAACAAACACAGCTTGCAGTTTTCCCAAGAATATTAACTTTTCCAGTTATTCTGCAACTTCAATAATATTTCCTTCATTTTCTATAATTTTAAATTATTGAGTTACACATTTAACCTTAAGAATTTATGTACAGTGCTCTTAAAGAAGCTGGAAAACGAAATTTTGGGTAGATTTAATGTTTTTTTGAAGAACCTACTATTAGCGTTTTAATTGTTCGTAGTGTATATTAAGAGATTCGTTAGGGTCTCATGGTCGTTTCCATAGTGTAAAATAAAATCCAATTTTTCTAATCAATAAGGTATACGACTGTTCAGTAGAAGTAAAACTTTGAACAAATTTATTTAATATAGTTGATTCTTGATAACTGTCACCGCCGTAATAATACCCTTTTACGAACACCAATCTTGAAAGCATTTGTCCATCTGAATAGCCACGGGTACTATCCATGCAGCATTATGGATGGGTAGCAAACAAATGCCCATACCCGTGCAAAAATGTATACTATAGATAAATTTATGATATTTCAAAAAAGAAAGAAAAAGCAGCATTAAAAGTTGGAAAAGCGCAACTAAAATAAACTATCCTTAATCTGGCTGTTTATCCCATATGTCACACAAAATGCCGTTAAAGTTGAAAATACCAGTTATCAGATACTTATTTCTTGCAACTAATTAACAAAGCTCAGTTCGTTTTCCATTTGAGGTTAGGTTTTGTTTATTTGTTAAATTTCGCACAAAGCTACTCGAGGGCCATCTGCTCTAACCGTTCTTGATAATTTAGAAGTAATAGTTTAGGGGGAAGGCAGCTAGTCAACATCACCCATCACCACTTCTTGGGACATTCTTTACCAACATTACATTATAGTGTTGAAAGGGAAGAATGTTTGGTAACGGGATTCGAATCCACAACCCGTAAATTGCGAGTGAAGTGCCCTATTCCACAGACCACGCCAGAGCTTTTTAATTAGGTCAGTCAAGTCAATAAGAAAAAAAAATATTAGCTTGATAATTAATTTTATTTCGATCAGAACAACTACGTTTTTATAACGAATCTAAAAGTCAACCTGTCAATTAGTATAACTAATTAAATAGTTTAATAAATTGAACTGGGAAGGTTGTTATTTTTTTATCTTATTTCATCATGATTTAGAGACTAGTATAGAATAGTGTTACGACAGCGGAAGTCACGTGACACTGGAAGCATGCACGCTGGCGTTTCTAGAAGGATCAAGACTGTTCCTAGCAACTCATGTCTTTTCTAGGCGCCCTCTACTTTAGTATGTAAGCCCGGCAAATAAAGAGGAGATATAATTGCCGATAGGGAGATATAGAGTCAAGTCTTAAGTAAAGTGCGTGAATCTTTGTGAATTATAGCGTGTGTTGAAGTTAAAGTGACTGTGGAAATTAAGTGTATTGCAAAGTTGTATTGAGAAAGAATAAACTAATTTTATTTAAGAAAGGACTTGTATCGCTGAAGTTCTTCAGAAATTTTTTATGGTAAATTAACAAACGACCAGAGACGTAACAAATTGGTGTCAGAGAGTGTGACAGAAAAAAAAATGGAAACGAGAAGTGGCAACTCAAACTTCGACTTACCAGATTTGATGGCAGCAATACAAGAACAGCAAAAGAAACAAGAAGAGAGATTACAGCAGTTGTTGGAGGAAAAGAAAAGAAACAAGAAGAAGGAGAAAAGAAACAAGAAAAGAGACAACAGCAGTGGTTGGAGGAGAAAGAAAATAAACAAGAAAAAAGTCTCCAACAGTTGAGAGAGAGCCAGCATACACAAATGGAAAATATTAGTAAATTTCAAAGTGAATTAAAGACATTGAAAGAAAAATTGGCCTCATCTCCACT